CCACGACAACACACAGGAGTATGGGTGACTCCTTTAGAGCGTGGTTCAAATGAGTGAGGGTGGCATTACGGTAAGTAGAGTCTGATTTCTTTCAAAAAATACCAATATTTGCAGATGACTGATTTAACTATTATAGATTACTCATTATTCATGACATCCCTTGTATCTGACCACAGCAATGCAAGAGGGACTTAGATGGCGAAAGGAAATGCCTACTGTAAAACTCTTAGAGGAAAACACAGGCAGAACACTCTGACATAAATCGCAGCAGTATCTTTTTGGATCCACCTCCTACAGTAATGAAAATAAAAACAAAAATAAACAAATGGGACCTGATTAAACTTCAAAGCTTTTGCACAGCAAAGGAAACCATAAGCAAAATGAAAAGACAACCCTCAGAATGGGAGAAAATATTTGCAAATGATGTGACCGACAAGGGATTAATCTCCAAAATATACAAACAGCTCATGCAGCTCGATATCAAAACAAAAACAAAAACAACCCAATCAAAAAACAGGCAAAAGACCCAAACAGACATTTCTCCAAAGAAGACATACAGGTGGCCAAAAAGCACATGACAAGATGCTCAACATCTCTGATCATTAGAGAAACGCAAATCAACACTACAATGAGGTATCACCTCACACCAGTTAGAATGGCCAATCATCAAAAAATCTACAAACCGTAAATGCTGGAGAGGGTGTGGAGTAAAGGGAACCCTCTTGCACTGTTGGTGGGAATGTAAATTGGTGCAATCACTATGGAGAACAGTATGGAGGTTCTTTAAAAAAAACTAAAACAGGGCTTCCCTGGCGGCACAGTGGTTGAGAGTCCGCCTGCTAATGCAGGGGACACGGACGGGTTCTTGCCTCGGTCCGGGAGGATCCCACATGCCGTGGAGCGGCTGGGCCCGTGAGCCATGGCCACTGTGCCTGCGCGTCCAGAGGCTGTGCTCCACAACGGGAGAGGCCACAGCAGTGAGAGGCCCGCGTACCGCAAAAAAAAAAAAAAAAAAAAACTAAAAAAAAACTAAAACAGAACTACCATATGATGCAGCAATCCCACTGCTGGCACGTATCTGGAGAAAACCATAATTCGAAAAGATACAGGGGCTTCCCTGGTGGCACAGTGGTTAAGAATCTGCCTGCCAATGCTGGGGACACGGGTTCAAACCCTGGTCCGGGAAGATGCCTCAGAGCAACGAAGCCCATGAGCCACAACTACTGAGTCTGTGCTCTAGGGCCCGCGAGCCACAACTACTGAGCCCACGTGCCACAACTAATGAAGCCCGCGCACCTAGAGCCTGTGCTCCACAACAAGAGAAGCCACCACAAAGAAGCCTGAGCACCTCAACAAAGAGTAGCCCCCGCTCACTGCAATTAGAGGAAGCCCGCGCGCAGCAACGAAGACCCAAAGCAGCCAAAAAAACCCCAAACTTATTAATTAATTTAAAAAACACTCTTTTTAAAAAAAGATACATGCACCCCAATATTCACTGCAGCACTATTTACAATAGCCAAGACATGGGAGCAACCTAAATTTCCACTGACAGAGGAATGGAGAAAGAAAATATGGTACATATGTACAATGGAATATTACTCGGCCATAAAGAAGGACGAAATAATACCATCTGCAGCAACATGGATGGACCTGGAGATTATCATACTAAGTGAAGTAAGTCAGAGAGAGAAAGACAAATATTACATGATATCACCCATATGTGGGATCTAGTTTTAAAAAATTATAAAAATGCACTTATTTTACCATAGAGAAACAGACTTACAGATATCAGAAACCACTTATGGTTACCGAAGGGGAAATATGGCGGGGAGGGATAAATCAGGAGCTTGGGATTAACGTACACACACCACTATACATGAGGACCCACTGTATAGCACAGGGAACTCTACTCAATACTCTACAATTGCCTATATGGGAAAAGAATCTGAAAAAGAATGGATACATGTATATCTATAACTGAATCACTTAGTTGTACACCTGAAACAAACAACATTGTAAATCCACTATACTCCACTGTAAAATAAAAATTAAATTAAGACAAAGAAAGGAAATGCAAATGCCAAGAACGGGTTAAGGACCGTGCTAATCACCCTGGAACAGCTGTGCTCCAACCTGGGTTTCAGGTTCTGTGCAGGGATTTCTATGTTGGGGGCCCCATGGGGCGCCCACAGCTGACTACTGTCTCTCAACTCCAGATCCACTCTCCTGTGCTCTGCTTGGTGATGCTGGGACCGGGACAACATAAATTACATGTCTCTCTTGTCAGCTGTCTTCCTATTGGGGTTCTGCAAGTGGGGCCCTAGCAGGCCAGGGGAAGGGAGAAGGGACCACCTTCCCTTTTGCTTGCTGTCCATTTCAGTGCCAACCCAACAGTGACGTAGCAGCAGCAGTTGGTTCCACCCTGTCGCGTCTTTCAACAATCCCTGAGTGGTTTCAGTGCGTTTCCTCTGAGGTCTGGCCCCAGCCACAGAGCATGCCTCTTCAGGTCTGCGCCCAGCTCCACGGTGCCTCTCCTCTGAGCCCCTGAAGGACCAGTACTGGCTGGGCGCCTCTACCTGTGAGAGATCTGAACCCCAGTTTGGTGAGGTCCACTCTCCAAACTTCTGGGTGGTGATAACCTACCTTCTTTTCTCTATTCCTTCAACCCTGGGAAACCTATAGTTACTGCCTCCACCTTAGTGGACTGCTTCTCACCAACGCTTGTTAAGCAGTTCCCTACAGTAAATTCTCTCTGTTGAATACTTAGTGTGGATTTTTATTTTCCTTCCTGGATCCTGACTGATACACTGACCAAACAAATTCTAGATTTGGAGGAGTAACCGACATAGCTTTTCAAAAAATGTATTCCAGTGGGAGACTAAACCTTTACGAAGTCTGCTCCCAAGAAAGAGAGAAGAAAAATCTCTAAAAATCTTTAATAATGTTTTTAGTTGTTAAAGTTGGCGGTATCTCTGTTAGAATTTTCCATCTTGACTGGCTGAAGACATGTGGGATTCTGTTACTCCAGGAAGAGGTAAATCATAAAACAAAAGTACACAACCTTCAAAAGAACATATCTTGGCATTTCATTTAAGATTGAAGCTGTTTTTATCCACACAACTGCTTGAGTAAATTAAACACACAGCCACACACACACACACACACACACACACACACACACACACACACACACACACACACGTACCCACTACTATGGAATCCAATCCTTTTTCTATCCCAAACCTTATCTGTTTTTTGACCATGTGATGCTTTCTAATACATTTGATTAATTTTTCACTCTAACTAGGTGAGCCAGCTCCCAGCTGAGATAACACTCCTTTTTCAAATTTTAATTGCTATCTGGTCCTTTAAGTGCGATGGTTCACATGCTGGGGACGTTGGCACATGGAGCTAAGGGAGGTTCACTATCTGAAAGTAGAGACAGTGTGTTGCTAATGAAAATGTTTTGATTAAAGCCTTGACTCATAATCAAAACAAGATGACTATGGTACCTCCGACACTACAGAACACTCATCCCAAGTACCAGTGCCTTTTCGTACTAGAACTCCAGTGCTGTTAAGTGTTAGGTACAGTGAGGGTGTGGGCTTTTGTATTAAATACTGCGAGAAATAACACATTTTTAAAAATTCGTGCAGTATACTGCAAACAATGCTATTAAAAGTAATAATCTGAATTCCTGTTATCAATTTTTTAAAAATCCTTCTGCGTTATAACACTGTCAAGTAAGGCAATCTCTTGGGAATACTTTGTGAGAATTTTTCGTAGGGTACTAAACCCAGCTCAGTTTTCTATGATTATACCTATAAAAACATTCCAAGTTTCACTGAATGGCCATGCTAAAAGAGGCTCTGTGTTAAGTGCAATGCAGATAAAAATATAATTGGGCTCAAAAGAAATATGACTAAGAGTTGATGTGTGAGGTGACATTATCTGAAGATGCGTTTGTATGATCCAGAGACGGATGTTGAGCATGTGGGTTGAAGTTGGAATGGTAACTGACTATGTGAAGAGCAACCATCAAATTTAGCACTTGTGTTTTAGTTTTCAAAGGAGGAAGCTAACTGGCCCGTTTGCTCAGCTGACCGTGTCTTGACTTCATTCCATCCATGGCCATCATTAAAACACAGACACCTCTACCTGGATCTCACAAGCTCTGAATTTGAAACCATGAAGCCAAGTCGGTCAACACTACTGCAGGCAAATGCCAGTGATAAGGAAGTTGTTATGACCTAAAGAAATTAAGTAGGGGCTGGAAGTACAGAGCAAGGATAACGCGTGATTTATGCTAACTGGTCTCCAGCATTGTGGGCAACACAGTCCTAATGCGAAGGGGAAGAATTCCTGAGGATACAACCCTCCTAGGAGGCCAATTTGGCATTATTTCTTGTTTGCATTATCATCACCTTTCTGAGAGAAGCTGAAATTATCAGAAAACCAAACCACACAGAGCTTGGCAAGAAAGGATTTCCTGGGTCAAAAGCATTAGAAGAAAAACACCAAGATGGGAAAAAACAATGGATCTTATCTGGGACCAATTTTCTTATTAAAAAAATGCTTACTTTTCAATATTAATACAGCCAACATTAATACTTTTCAATATTAATGCAGTTACATGGCAAACCCCATAGTAACACCACAGACCCCAGAATCTCAAAGTTTTCCAGAAGCTGAAAGTTCTCATAGTAAATAAACCTACAGAGTACAGAGAACATATTGAATAATGTATGCTTGGGGGTGGGGGAGGGGTAAGTATTATCAGGCAGGTGGTCACAGGATAAAACCAAACTAAACGAACTTAACCTAATTTCATCCCTTATAACCAGAGAAAGCCATGTTCCCTAAAAATCACAAGGCAGTATGCAAAGTAAAATGCCAGAGGGGTATTTTCTGTTTCCTAAAAGGGTCTTATGCTGGACCAATTAACTTCCAATTAACACACTTTTAATTAATCAATGACTTTCCAAGAAAGGGTGCCTTACCTTTCATAATGTCTGCGGGTACAAGTGGCGGCACTGGTGCTCCCAGGATTACCGCCTAATTCATCATAAATATGTTTCCATTGACGGCGGGCTGTTATCTGAAAAAAGTGGCAATGAGAAATTTAATCTTGCATCATAAGAGATCCACAGTGCCAGGATTCAACACATACGCAACAGTCAGAAGAGAACGGTCTATTCTGGAATCCCAGAAACAGAGAAGTCCAAATGAATACATGGGAGACTTACGGGCTAATAGTAAGATCTCACTTTTAGCATTTTTCTTTACAGTAAAAATGGAATTCTGCTTTGGGCTCTACATTTTGTCACCCTTAGCGCATTTTTATCTGAGGCATCTCCCTGGATATTCATGTAGTTATTTGCCCCCAAGGTCCCAAACTTATACTGTTCCTTTATGTCATGTGATAAAGCATCAAAATAAAATAAGATTTCAGCTAAAATATATCTCAGTGTACCAGTTTAAATGAATCAGAATTAACATTACTTGCTTAAGGGATATGGTAATGGGTGGCTGAGTACACAGGTAAAGACAGAGTTTTCATAAAACATGCTTTTGCATCTTCTGGTTTTTCAACTATTGTGATGTGTTGCCTACCTTAAAGACTAAAAAAACAATTCCTACAGAAATTAATTAAAATGATCAAGTTGGTTATGAAATTTATAGTCGTCTCAGGCTGTATTTTTATGCCTGCTCCTCTAACCATCAGAACAAAACCAAAATCTGAAACTGTCTATGTCACAGGCTGTTTATTTTTCTTCACTTAGGTCAGGAAAATGGGATATCCATCAAATCCTATGAAAATTAACATATTCCAAAGTTAAAATGTAAGCTCTGTATTTTACTGGGTTGGGTGAATAAAAACAAACAGCTTGCAACATAGCGAAAGGCATACTGTGGTCTTGTTTTTTTTTTTTTTTCCTTTAATTTTATTTTTATATGTAAATTAAGATTTTACAAAATAACAGATGCATGATCTAGCAAATGATTCATTTGGGGAAACCACGTCACTTACTACATCTGAGCAATCTAGTGTTTCCTTGAAACTGGGAAGACCGAGCAAGTTCTGAGATCTTTGTGAACGTTTCTGAACAGGGCTCCAGGAAAAAAACTCTGTTAGTGCAATGGGCAGGGGGCAGGGCGTGGCAGAGGTGCCAGTGGCATTTAAACAATCGGAACGGGAGGCTTCTTTTGAAAAACACCCGCAGAGCTGCCAGCGGAGTTCACTTAGGGGCCAGAGGCAGCAACGCGTGAAAAAAAATCTCAGCGTGCATCCAGGGGCTCTGTGGTTGCGATCTAAGGAGGAGAAGGGTGGTTAAATATCACAGGGTAAATGGTACCCTTTCCCTTTCAAATAAAAAGAACCCCTTCATTTCCATAAACCCTTCTTAACAGACCCAAGTAGGACCTCGAGACAGTGTGAGTTTTGCATTGTTCAATTTCCCATGAAGCATTCTTGAACCAATTTGTTTCAACAGTTCTTGTTAGCCTGAGCCACCTCTTAGATCTACTAGCAGGTATAACTAAAAATCCTCCTGTATTTGTAGCTTGGTTTAGATTATAATAATAAATGTTTTTTCAAGCCCCTTTAAAAATACTCAAAATACATATTTTGGTAATTATTTTATATTTAGTTACCGTCTCCCTCCAACCTTTTAAATATTACAGTTTCAGGCTGATCCATTCTAGACCTGTGCATCACGGAAGAATAAACAGGTTCCCCTTCTTCCAAGTATCTACCTTATTCCTCAAAGCCCTTAGAACACTGAGTCCCTTGAAACAAATCTCCATATTCCCTTCCCTCAGGTGAGGTGTGGGCCCTGGAAAATAGCCTATGTGTGTTCCTGCAGTCACTTCGGAAAGAATCCATCACTCTTGTCATTCTTGTATCTCTTGTGTACACTGTATTTTATATTTTGTAAAGAGTTTTCATATCCATGGTATCATTTAATCCTCCCATCAGCCTGTGAGGCAGATTATAGGAATCTCATTCACAGACAAAGGAAACAAGTCTCAGAGAGGTCGCACGACTTCCCTAAGGACACACAGCAGCAGAGTGGGAATGCCGGGACTCGTACCGATGTCTTATGGCCCCAAGAGCAGACTTTTTTCCACTACATCAAAGCAGCCTCCATATCAGAATGACCTGATGAACAGTGTAGCAGGGTGACAATATAGAACTCCAGGGGCCTTTTGCTTCAAAGGAAGGAGATAACTGTGGGACCCATAGCTTCTGCTACAATTTCTCAAATTCTCACTAGTGGGAAAACAGCATCACTACGAGGTCAGCAAGAATGTAAGGGCGTGGGTTGGGTTACCAGTGCTCTGAGATTTTACTCTCTTAAAGTAAAACCATTAAAACTGTGGTTCCTGCCACCCTGCCCACTTGTGTCTCTAGTTAGAACATAGGTTCACCATTACATCATGGATAAGTCCCAATTATACCAGAATCCATCCATTCACTCATCCATTCACTCACCAAACATTTATTGAATATCTCCCATTTGTTGGGTACTGTGCTAGCAGCTGGGTGGCAACAGTGAAAACCCAACACCCAAGATGACTGCATCCTAGTGGCAGATACCCAAAAATAAACAAATGACCAAATATATAAACAGAGTACTACTGACTGTGAAAAATATAATGAACAAGAGGGCACTGCTGACAGGGATATGTGTGGAAACTGGCCGCGTTCCCTACCCACAACCCATCATCCAGACCAGGGGATGCCCTGTTAAACACATGCCTATGACAGAAATGACAAAACTTCTTTGAAAATAGATAATGAATTATCAAAAGGAAAAAGAAAATATCTTCCTCACACTAGGACTGAAACTGTGGCAGCGGGAGGCCAGCATCAGTCACCACTTGGCATTAATAAACCATATGCATCTGGCTAGGGGTCTGTGTTAGCCCCCCGCTAGCAGGTTCTGTTGTTTCAATACAGTTTTTACCAGTAGAGAAAAGACAAGGGCTGGGCCTTCAAGGAAGTGGGTTCTCAACTGTTTACTGAGCTTCCACTGGCCAGCCTGGATGAATCAGGCCATTCTGAGATATTTTCTTTCCACAGGAAAGTCATGAAATGTGCTCTTTCCAACTGCTAAACGCCTTTAAGTACACAGTTCTCCTGGGTATACACATCTCTTATTTTTTGTGCCCAGATGCGCTTTCAATTCAAACGCTGACCATAGGCTGTACAGCAAAGAAACGTCTAAATCCTCGCCTTGTCCAAACCTACAGGGGGTCTCAGAGCCCTATGAGGAGAGATAGGAGGACGCAGCTGGGACAGCTCCTGGGCATCATGCCCCCACCCGTGTACATCTGCCTTCTGTACTAACAGGCTTTCGTCGTGCCTAGGCAAGCATTGGCTTTGGGTTTTTATTCTGTTGTCCTCTCTGGATGTGTGTAAGCTTTAAACCCAGTCTCAGGCAGAAGCAATGTCTGCCTCCTGGTATCTGGCCCCCAGCCCCATTCAGCTGGAAAGTTTGATCTAGCCATGGGGTTAGCTTGATCAACTCTCTCATAAAGCCTCAGGCTTCCTGGACACGTTCATGTTTCAACCTGACCTTCTATTATTTTAGGTTTTTAAGGATACAAAGAACTCTGGCTGTCTGTTTCCTAAAGAAAATTCATCCAAGCAGTTGGATTCCTGACATCAACACATCTGCTGCTGCTTACCATTCTAGGACACTACCAGGTACAGAGGCTTGGAAGCGGAAGGGAGGGTGGAGGGTTGAGGGTGGGGGTGAGAGCATGAGAAGGAAGAGACGTCACCGCTTTTAAGGGTTCACAATCTAGCAGGATTCATAACGCCATACAATTAACCATGAAGCAAGACGGAAAACTGAGTGGACCACACGCAGGTGAAGCAAACCAATCTAGGTGCATATGGAACTTAATCTCACTTTGAAGACACTTGATAGTTACTTCTTTCCCTAGTGAGGATAAGACCCAAGGAACTCTGTGAAAAGCACTCTACACCTATCATGTTCATGAAGTTTTCACTGCTTATGAATACAGTCGCCTCTCTGCACCCACAGACCCCTGCAGGTACCAAAATTTGCGGACGCCTAAGTCCCATATAAAATTTGCATATAACGTACGCACGTCCTTCTATATACTTTAAATCATCTCCAGATTGGTTATACTACTGAACACAATGTAAATGCTGTGTAAATAGTTGCCGGTACTTGGCAAATTCAAGTTTTTCTTTTTGGAACTTTCTGGAATTAAAAAAAATTTTTTTTGCCCGATCCAAGACTGGTTGAATTTTCGGATGTGGAACCCTCAGATACAGAGGGCAGACTGTACAGTGGTTTTCAAATTGCTTTTTAGAATTCATGTGGTGTTTTAAAAGGTGGCGTGAAACTAGCTCTCAACAATGCTAATCCCTGCCAAGAAAATGGGCCCAGTGAGTGGGAAAGGAATCTGTCCCTCCCATGATTTCGTTTGATGAAAATAGTCTGTCATTTTTTTTAAAAATTGGAAAACTATTTAACCCAAGATACAGTCTTGGAGGCTTTATTTTCCTCTACCTTTGAGGTCGCTAGGATGAAATAACTTTGGTATTTTCGTGGACTGGTGAGGAAACAGTCATCAGAAATCTGTTAGGACAACAGTGCCTTCCACTATTGTACTAACTGTAAGAATGTGTAGGACGTTATGAAGTCAGAAGGAGAGTTTGCCTGCAAGCAGTGTTGCCCCAGCTGCTGTGAGAAAGCCTTTTTCCTCAGGACACCTTGAGGGTGGTGGACTGAATTCAAGGAAGATGACTTTTTTTTTCCTGGTAGTACTCCAGGAACTGGAGCCTTTCAAAGCGATATGACATCATCTTTGGCCTCGAGAATTTTGAATTAAGCGAGAGGCTTTGTCTGTCCAGAGAACTAGGGTTAGATTCAGAGGATGCCTTGAAATGATGTCAAAGCCAGAATCTGATGTCAAAGCCTAATCCTTCCAGCAAGAAGACAAGTGACCTCTTCCAGTTGGGAAATAATGGTCCGGTCTCACCCATGGGGCGAGGCGGGGCTGTGAGCTGACATTCTTAGAAGGCAGCACTTGCATGGTCCTCTGCCTCTAGGATAAGATTTACTCAAGACCCATTTCCCGACTCAACCTCTCTCCAAATATTGCCTCTGGCTCGCCATCAAATGTTTAGCCAAATGGAAATCACTTTAGCAAACCATCATCAACACACCGCATCCTGGTAATACCCCAAGCTACTCTGCAAGCTTTAATTGCTTCACCAGACACTGAAGTGAAGACCTCCTTAGCTCATCAGCAAAACTTGATTCAGTTCTGCCTGTTCCACTGCAGGTGACCCAGACTCTCAAATGTTTAGAAGGAGAAATTGGATATATGACTGTTAAAGAAGGGTCCTCATTGCCAACCAATCAAAATGCCAGTATACTGTTTTTTAGGAAATCAAATCCATTCAATACGTTTATGATCTCTAAACCTAGGGGTGCAGAGACACAATATACATTTCTGGCAGAGGCAGAAGAGGCCAAGAGAACAGAATATAGCCATTAGTTGAATGCTGTAAAGGCTTAAAATAGAACTTCTGTTTTTTTTTTTTTTTTTTTTTTTTTTTTCAATTTGAGGGTTGTGAAGGACTAAAATGAAATAATCCGTAATCCTCAATTCGAACCAGAAGGTTTGGAATAGTTTATAACCACAAACAAAAACAAGCCAATTAAGATGGCCTCTTTTTATAACCAGAAGGAATTCCAGAGAGATGTCTTTATCCAATCACAAGTTAACAGCAGAAGAAATATATCTACACATTTTAAACTTGCAATTTTTTACTATTACTGAGTATTTACATCTTCCAGACTTCTTGACACATCTTCTAAGGTCACACATTTTTCTCAAGAATCAGAAAATCTCAGCTAATACTTAGTATATCTGGTAAGGTTCGTATTAAGTACGAGGAAATGACTGAAAGATGCTACCAATGAAGGTAGGTTATTAGATCTTTTTTTTCCCCCAAAACATCACCCCAAATACATAAAAAGATACATAAGAGACTGCTGGGAACGGAAGGCACAAAGAATTTATAAATCTCTTTCTTCCCAGTGATACTATGGAGCTTGAAGTAATTATGCACAAAATTCTCAGCAATTCAGAATGTGAAGAATGCCATGGTGACCCCATTCAACTCATTTCATCTCCCTGTGCCTCAGTTTCATTTGGAGCAGGGCAAGGATCTTTTTCTGCATAAAGGCCGAATTGCGAAAAATAAAGTTAGGGGGCTACACTTTTCCTTATTCAAAATGAAAATGGTCCCAATTTAGATTTTGCCACTTTACCAAATGGAAAAAATATTCGTTGGAAACTTTCTGCTACTTCTTAGCCAAGGAATGTTAATATTCTGGCATGTTTATCGTTTTTATTTAGTACTAGCATGAAGACAACATTCTAATCTTTGATACTTGACTTAGATGGGGGCTTCTGAAGCCAGGAGTCGTGAGGTGTAGTAATCACCGTTACCATTAGCTTTGAATTAACATAATCTGGGCAGTTTAAAAAAAAAAAAAAAAAAAAAGGATTCTCAAATTCTCAGGCCAGGCCCCACCCCAGAGTTAGTATCTCAGAGACTTAGAAAACTACTTACACTTTAAAGTTCCCCGTTGAAAATTTGAGCCCCAGTTCTTGAGTAGCCTCTGGGAGGCCTTTAGAATCTTCTTCACTGATCTGGAAGATTCTAAGATCTCTTTTGAGCTCTAAATGACAAGTCTACACTTGCTTGCGACATCAGATAATCTCACAGAGAAGTATCCTCTAGTAAGGCTGCGATGACAAGGTTAAGTCCTCAGACTGTGGATATTATTCATACATCTCCTGGAGTGACTTCAAAACTGAATCCTCACTGAGCGTCTCATAGTTTTATTCGTCAAAATATACTAGAGAAAAATGTTTTCTGTACTTCAGAGGTTCAGAAGCTTAAAGGTAGAAACAGGAGTGGCAAACTTAAGTGCCAGCAGGGCCAACAGGTAGTATGAGGGCATTTTTTAAAAAGGAAGGAAGGAAGGAGGGAAAGAAGGAAAGAAAGAAGGCAGGAAAAAATCCCACCAGTTGGCTTCATTCAGTTTATGGCCCCAAATAGATTTTACAGTGAGACGGCCACGTAGATTCACTGCTTGAGATGAGATGAAAAAATATGGCGTATTGTGCAGAGTGGCAGGGACCCACCAAAGGATGGAGAAGTTGAAGGGTGAGTGGAGAGGGAAGGAGGAAAAGGGCCACCCCACAGGTCACCTGTCCTCTTTGTGGCTTGGCTGAAGAGACGTGAAACACATAACCAGATGGAAAGCAGATGCCCGTCTGGTCTTGCCACGTTCACCCATCCCAGTCACTCTCTCCTCCACTCCATCCAGCACAACGCAGTGCGGGAAGAGTAAGTGGCAAAACATAACACTTAACTTGTTACCAGTCTTCATAGCCCCCAGCCCCACCCCTCACTGCCTAGCATCCAAGGGCCTCCTTCCCTCGGTTCCATCCTTCTCTCTGGATTCCCCTTCATGGTCACTTATCCCCACCACCTAGTGACCCTACTTTAAGTTACAAACTCTCTATACCCGGCTCTATTCTACCTACCTAGTTTGCTTCCCCATCTGATTTTCTCTTCCAAGAAGGCCATGATCTCTCATGTCTAAATTCCATCCGTTCTCCAAAATTCTGCTCAAGTGGCAGGCATCACAGCCGTAAGTCTTTCTTCCCCATCTCTAAACGAGGAGGTACTTTACCTGAACCGGGCACTGATCTTTTTTTTTTCCACCTTGTCTTGTAATTACTGCCTTTCCTGGATGGTAAGCAACTGGAACCCCTGGCCTAGATATTTTTATGTCTCCCAGAGTGTCTAACACAATGCCTTATACACATAAGACACTCAGTAAATATGTGGTCAGGTGATCTGCTGACTGTGTGATTCATTCATTCATTCATTCTTTCAACAGAAGACTAATCACTGTTTGTTCAAAGAGTATTGCAAATGCCTTGAGACTCATCAGAAGTTTCTTCTGTATTTTCTACACCACCTTCCTACTGCATGTTAAAAAAAAAAAAAAATCCTTGTGCAAATACAGAAGATACAAAAGCAGGAAAAACTGATTCTGTGAAATTTACTGGCACTCTCCCTATCAGTGAATAACAAAAAATACCTGGGCTTAAGAAGACATTCATAATGTTGTGCAATATCATGTACCTGCCTGCAGTCACGGTCCATAAGAATGTGTATTCCTACTCTGAACTTTAAAAGTTAGGCTTAAAAGTCTAGGCTATGGGGTTGACGCCTAAATTTATGAGACTAACACTGAATAAGTTATCAGCTTTTTCACGTGCACAAAAGCTATAATTAGCTCAAGATTTTGCAAAACGATGAGCCACAGTGGGAAGGAGTCAACCTCCCTGTCCTATCAACAGATCCAACCAAGTGAAAAATTACATTATTTATTTTTCAGTAGGGCACTTGGTAAAACAAATATTCTAAGCAAATTTTTTAAGCAAAAAATTTTATGAAATGCATCTTTAAATGTAGTTCATATGAGTATTCGATTTCCTTATAAAAATCTATGTACTGCCCATATATTAAATAAGCACTTCACACGTATACAGACTCACATCAAAGAATTTTTAGTCAGAATTCACAGCAGGTATATCTCTACATTAATACCAGATTACATGAGTCACATAACACTCGCTGTCTTTTCCCATCCCAAGCCCCTGACATCACACCCTTACATTAGTTTGTGCAACAATGTGCTACATCTGGCAAGAAACACTCATTATTTTGGGTTAAAATGAATTTCATTTTCTTGACTCTGTGTCTCTTACTGTCATTTTACTACGATACAGGGATATACCCCAGGTTACTCTGTGAGGAAAGAAAAAAACCAATTTCTTCTTCAATTGTAGAATAAGAACCTGCACAACTCAATCTGATCATCGTGTGGAGGAGAAAATCTTGCCAGTGACGGCGTCACTTGATTTGATTACAGACGTCATCTCTGCGCGCTGTATTAGTGCAGCTCTCTCTTCTTCTTTCAAGATTTTAATCTGAGTCTGTTGCTCTAACATTTTATCAGTTCAAAATACATGCTGTAAACCTCCCTGGCCATCAGATTTTCCTGTGAGCTAAAAATAACCCGTTCCTGTCAGTTAGAATTAGCTGATAAAGAGTGTCACAGCCTCTTCTGAATAAGTTTGATAACTTCCTGTTTATGTGGCACTGACCCTTGTCTAATAAAGCTTCTTTGCCCTAGAATGAGAGGAGATTCTGCTGCATTCTATTCCTTAATGGCCAATACTGATTACTTTTGAAAGCCTTTAATACATTTCCCATATTAGACATGAACAGATGTCAGGTATGTTGCCAAGGGAAATTTCTTTTATGCAATCTTGGCTTGTTGTACAATAATAGCCCTTTCTCAACATGGGAAAAAATTACAGACCCAACTAATTTCCCTGACAGGGGAGAGTTACATATGTTTTCCACTTGTAGTTTTTACGACAAGTTTACAATTTTGCCAAACCTGGAACTAATTGGGACTGTTTCCAAAAGCGGCCCAATAAACCCCCCAAAAGTGTAGAGCCATTTGAAAAGGTAAGTCAGCCATGGTTTGCTTTTTGCATTTTCTCCATTTTGGTCACAGCAGGGTGCGGGTGGGGGGTCAGATTGCAAAACTATTTCATTTAAGTCGCTTAAACACTTACTGTTTCATATCCTCCCAGTTTTTGAGCAGCTTGAAACATAGTCCAAAGGTTAACTGTTAGAGGGACAATAAGTATTTAGATAAGCATTGCATTAACATATTTCCAAGAAATGTCAATTAAAACATTTTGCTTTGTTTTTTCAATGAGAAAGAGAAAAAAAAAAAAAAGAAACACTAACAGTAACCCAGAGAGCTAAGTTCTTAGGAAACAATTTGCTAAAGGGTGTTCAGCAACAGGATATATTAGTACCACTTAAAATATTTCTTAAAAAAGAAACAGTCACAAATACGGAAATAGTTCTACTTTTAGGATAAAGGACAAACACGATTTTTAGTCCTATTGCCATCAGCAGACCAAGGGAAGCTAAGTTACAGCCTCCTTGGGAAAAGAGGCGGATTTCAAAACGGGGGCTGTTCTTGTAGGACCCTTAGAAAGAAGCCATTGACTAAAGGGTAATATATAATGCCTCCTTCAGATAAGAACTCTCCATAATCAATAAATAACAGCCACTTTAATATATGATTAGCTTCTTAATAGAATGTCTGATGGCAGCACTATATTAAAAGCTCATAGCATATTTCACTAGCACGTGGTACCTTGCACTGAGCAGGAAAATAGATATTTCAGTCACCCTTGAGGCTGCAGTGATACAACAGATCAAAGGAAAGGAAGATACTGGTTCACAGAGCAATTGAGTCATTTGTCCACTCGGTCCCCTAACTTGCCTGTGTGATGTTGCACATATGTATTTTTAAAAACAATTTTCTCTTCTCAGGACATGCATGTGTTTATGCTATTAAACATCTACGCCGAATTGCTAGCAACCCTGTTCATTTGTACTAAATACCATGGAATGGGACTGCTACGGATTTGATTCTTTCACAAGAGGGGAAAATTGAACTTCAAGTAATTCCTTGGTAAAGGAAATGAAGAATAAAATTAAAAAAAAAAAAAAAAAAAGAGCCTCTTTGACACAACACGTTCGAAAAGCCTCGTTGAACCCCGCACTGTTTCAAAGCTATCAAGAGCCCTGCCTCAGCCTTGATTTAATCTGAACCAATGCATAATGCAACAAAGCTGTTCATAGTACATTAATTTTACTTCTATTTCAAGCAACCAGTTTTCAGACAAACACTGTAATCATTCGTAGTTATATAAGTTTATAATAGCTGCGAGTGTTCTCTTGCAATCAGTGCCAGTTGCCATTAGGTATGTAAATTGTTATGTAAAACATACAGGTTTGACATTCTTCATCAAAATGACACATGGTTTTAATCTAGGAAGATACATTTGGAGAAAATACTATTTCAAGCCAGGGGCTCATCGCTTTGTGTGCCACGAAGTCCAGACAGAGGCAGTATATATACTCAGTTGTGAAATCAGGACAGGGTCTGGATTTCTTCTCTTTTTATAAGGAATTCTGCTCAGCTAAGAGTTCCCTGTTCTACTTTAAAATATATGATGACGCTTACATGTACATGTCAAAGTAATTCAAAATTGGGCCCTCGGTTCAAATTTGTGTATTTCTTGTTTCCTCTGAAGTCATCAGGTTTTTGTTATCTCCTAACAAATTTGGGGCTTAGGAAATATGTTTTCTCTTTGTGGTTGTTTTGTCCATCTTTTAATGTCCTCCTTTTAAAAGCTGTCTCTTCAGGCAACATCTGTGCCTGATAAAGCTACGTCATATTATTATCTCAGAAGAAAGGCGTTACAGACACTCAAGACTGACAAAACAGAAAATGAGGAACTTTCAACATGTCTATTTCCAGTCATAATCAGTGGATTCGAGCCTATAAATATCTCACTGCAACTGCCCCAGAAGGGAACAATATCTCGGAAGGAGGCAGGGGGAAAAATTCCTGGCCTGGATGATTTGTAGATTTAGTAGAAACAGAGAACATCATCTCCAGAATAGGATTTCAACATAATCCTGAGTCAAAAAATTTTTTTTTCCCAATTCAAAGAATCTGAGCGGTTTTGATACTTTCAGAAATGAAAACAAGTATACTTACTCTGTTTAAAACCTAAATACGGTATTCGTTCTATTGGCGTCTTCCTTTCTTTCATGTATTTATAAAGTGCCACCAGGAAGGCCTGCTCATCTGCCCTGCACTCTTCACCAATTCCAGCCTTTGGTTTTTCTTCATTGGAGACCTTCTTACAGTTATTATGGTTATTCTTCGGCTTGGTCAAGGCTGACCTGGCCTCACATTTCACCTGGAAAAGGGAAAAACATATGCCACATCAAATCAAGCACAGCTCTGGAACACTTACAAAGACATAGCTAGGACAGGAACCAGTAAACTACCCTTGCCCTGAAATAGCTCCTAGAGGCACCGCTGAATATGAATTGTCTTAGACCAGGAGATGGTAAATTTCTGTGAAGGGCCCGATAGTAACTATGGTAGGCTTCTGGGCGCTATCGTCTTGGTCACAGCTACTCAACTCTAGCACGAGAGCCATCCCAGACAATATGTAAATGAATGGATGAGGCTGTGTTCCAATAAAATTTTATTTATAGAAACAGGTGGCCAGTGGGCCATGGTTTGCCAAACTGTGCCAGCCTCTTTTAGATTCCTTGCAAGTATGTTGATATGAAACCAGAAACAGTGTTTACATCCACTAGGACCATTCTCCTGTCTCTCTACACACTTTATTTTCCTAAGGGGCACCATCTGTTACTATCGTTCAAGGAACGTTCTTAATCACAGTCCCATGTTTCGCATTTTGTATCAAAATGAAAGGCAAGTGTATTTCTTCATAGTAAACTTATCTTGTTGCCACTCTTCCCAGCAAACTGGAAAAACAGGTCAATGCTGGCAGATGTTGTCATCAGGAATACCAGCAAGGTCTCTGCTATCTGTCACCCGAGGGTGATGCCCAGATACACCCCCAGTAGGAAACAAAACACTCCACTCTTTAAGGAGGGTGTCTCGCTTTTCAGTCAGCTCCGAGAATCTCATAGATGTTAAGTTGCCACAAAAGAAAAAGTAGAGGTCAGCTAAAGACCCAAGAAGAGTAAGTGAAAAGCTCCATAATTAATAAATAAATGACAGTAAATGGGCCAGATGTTCTTCCCTCCACGCTCCAGGCAAATATGGAGCTCGCCACACGGATCGGCCAACCTCATGTTCCCTCCTCGCTGCCACGTTCGACATAGAGGCCTTTGATGGTTGTTAAATGTAACGGCTGAGCTGCTGAGCTATTTTAATTGTCAAAGGGGGAAGTACAAAGGGTCAAGCTGCGAGTTCAAGTGAGCCCATGGGGAATGTGTACATTCCAATATTCGTTACATCTCCCGATCTAACGTGGGAGAGAAGAGGATGATTGCCCAGGAAATGTTACGAATTAAAATGTCCCACACACTCAACAAGGTTTTCCATTTCAGATTTCTGACCCCCCTTATTCTTTCCCTTCAGGGTCTCCTTCCCAAGCGCTAAGAACATAAAAGGCCTCACTTATTTACTAAAGGGGAACCTCTCCTCTAAGAACATAAAAGGCTACATTTATTTATTAAAGGGAAACAAACGTCTCCTCTGCAAGGGTCTTCTTTATTGTTTATTCTCTCAAATGGACACACTAGTTTAATATCTTTAGAGTCCTGGAAAAAAAATAAAACTTCCTGCACAACTCAATCAACTGGGCCTCTAGATAAGATTTTAATTTTTAAAGATCAGTGGAAGTGGGATGAAAACAGTTTTCCATATAGGGTTTCTTCTTACAGTATTCTCAAACTTTAGTACTTTGTAACCTTATACTAAGGCAAGCATCCTGGGAAACTTTATATTGTCATCATTTTTCACTGTCAAATTTCAGATTGTTGAGTCTAAAGTTCTGATGAAATCTATCATTTAACGGCTCTTTAAAATCATAAAATCACTCCAGTTCTAATCTGTCTTGCTCTCTGGCCTTTTTTGAGTGCTTACTATGTAGCCAGGCTCTATTCTAAGCCCTCTTTGGGCCCTATCTCATTTCATGCTCACAACCCTAATGGGGCAGGTTATTTTACTCTATGAGGGAGGAGGAAACTGAGGTACAGAGAGGATGGGTAACACATCCAAGATCACAAGATCATGTCCAGGTTAGTAAGTGGCGAGTCTGGAATTTGAACCCAGGTAGTCTCACTCGATGGCTTGTGGTTTTAAACACTGTATTTTACTGACACTCATAAAAATATTAAATTGATAGTCAAAACATACTTCCAATTAAAGACCATATCTTATCACTAGGCATTACAAAACCTACAGCTTAGAAATGTGATTTATCAAATGAGGAGGTGAAGATAAAACTCGGTGGTTTCCAAAGTGTAAAAGGGCTCCATTCCTTCCATTGTGTGTTGAGCAGAGGGAAGGAAACCAGTATCAATGGAGCAGCGACAGCGCCCTGGGCTTCACACAGCCTACCTAATGTTCACAAGAATCATAAAAGGGAGGTTTTTGAGCCCCATTTTACAGTCAAGGAAACTGAAGCTCAGCGGTATGTATTTTAGTGTGTGGCTAAGAGTCGGGTAGAGCTCTGAGTTGAGAACTCAGGTCTCCCACACTCCAAACCCGTCTTTTAAAACCAGGAGTAGATGTCAGTTTTGCATATCAAATAGGCTGAGGTCTTAAATCTGCAGTGATAACGGGCCACTTATTTATATTGTTAGGTCAGAAGTGCCACTGTTAAGGGAGCATGAGGTTTGCCCCTCAGCGTCTAGGGAGCTGCCTCACCCATGCAGAAACACCCAGAAACAGAAGGAAAGCACAGAGGGCGTGCACAAACTCGACCCCAAGTCATTCAGACCCCGTGATCACAGGGGAGGCTCCAGGTGATGCTGGGCTGCCACCTACTGAGCTGCATCCTGAGAGTCAGGGGGCTTCTCTTGGGGGCCAGGGGCTTCGTAAGACATGAACAGTGGTTTCTGTTCTCCGACTAGCTCCTACGTTTCTTCACTTAACATAAATGAGCCCTTTAGAGTATTATTCTGTTTCTGGATAGGACCAGGCCAAGTTCCTTTCTACATTTTTTTCACACTTACCGGAAACATTCTCAGCGTTTTAAGCTACTGAAATATGACACGGGAGCTAGTCTTCATGCTGACCTTGAGAAAGCCCAGCCTTTTGATGGTAACAGTTAATTACTAGATCTGTTCCACCCCCCCACCCCCGCCCCCAGACCTGAACACCTTACACTTGTTGAGTTCACTAAGAGCTTTGGGGTTTCCAAAGTGATTGAGGAAGTGCTAATTAAAGAATCCACATTTAACATTTTCAGTGAACCACCACCTATTTGATATTAACCACATCCTTTCACTGGATTGAGCTGTAACTAATTCAGGCTTCAACTGGGGCAGCAAGATGTGCTGAACCAGCAGGAAAGGAACTAGAGTCTAATTTCGATTTGGTCACTAACTTCCTAGGAAACCCTCATTTTCTTCCTCAGGAAAGCAAGAAGGATAATCCCTGGGGTGAGTTCTGCGAACCAAATGGGATGAAAAATACTGAAAATAATGGAAGTATCACATTTGTTTAGTATCAAAAGTATGTTTGTGATTTAAAGGAAAGAACCTATTGCGGTTTCCCTTTTTAATGTTCCTTTGAGAATATATAAGAATATAATAAGCCACCTGTTAATGTACTTCTGGCCTTTGGAAAGTGCTTACAGGATGTGAAAAGTCATTTGCCTTTTATCAATGGAGGCCTTTCGTTAGAGAGCCAGGCTGAGAAGACTTCTCTTGTATAGGTCACCATTATGAATGGGCTTTTGCCCCAGACCTGGATTTGTGTTGGACACATTCATGACATCTTCAGAGAATTGGTAGCCTCTTCTCCATGAGACTTTTGCTATTGTTGGAAAGCCATGAAATTCTCTGTCCCTTGGAAAACAGAGTCTTGCAAAGTTAGTTTTCATGTCCTCACTGAAAGAGGGCAACCTTTGGATAGCAACAGGCAAATTACTTGACTTGCGTTTCCAGTCATGCACACAACAAAGTGAGTGGGTTCTTATTCTAAGAGCTCTGCTGCGTGGAGCTGCAGGAAGCTGGTAATTGTCCACAGTTAGAAATGGTCTGTTCGAGGCACTTTTGAAAAAAAAAAAAAAAAAACAGTCACACAAGTCTTGGTCATAAAGCCAAACTATCACCTGAAATGTTGCTTCCAGTTCAGCAAATGATCAGATGGTCACAGACTTGTAACCTCTACGGTAGCGTTTCATGAGCAAAGACCACTTTAAGTCACACACGTCTTTTTAATGCTGTCCCGGCCCCAGATGTGGCCTGTTCATTCAGCAGGGATTTTACATCCATTTGTTGGTGCCAACAGACAAGCCCGCCATACTTCATACCTACCAGTCTCTCTCTTCTAGGTGAAGCGGTCTTTCCAGACCCACTGGAAGCAGACAAAGCAGGACTGTAATCCAAGACTCCGAGAAGCGTGGGGCGTTTAAACCAGTCCCCGGGAGCTGACCGCAGCATGACATTCATCAAGTCACCATTGAAACGAATGACGGAAGGATGACCCTCCTTCTGGTAAGGATTCTAAATGGCAGTGCTGATGCAAATCAGGTAGAGAAGGTCACTCAGACCAGAAACTAGAGTTTAATCAAGACCTTGTTGTGAACTTCAAACCCAGGCTTCACTACTGTCCCTTCTGAGAAGGGTAAGTCAGTGAACAGCAAATACAGACTGCAGTTCTCTTCAGTTTTGTGGGTCCGAGTAGGAGTCCTGAGCTGCCTTCCACGGAGGGAGATATTAGAGATGCTGTTCTTTCAGGTCAATTGTATGAGTTCCGTAAAACTCCCAGAGGCCTTCTTTGGTGGTGGCTCCAAATGACATGAGAAGGAGCTTCCTCCTGCTGGGCTCAGGTGCAGAGCATGCTGGGATAAACACGTGATGTCACCTTAGAGGTGTGGGGCAGGGCGCCAACACAAGACCTTGTCAGGACAAGCTCTACTGAATGCCACGATCCTAAAACCCTCTCACTCCATTCTGCAGTATCTTGCAAGCCATGTCACAGGGAACAAACTGTTCCCGCCGACATCCTTTCAAGACCACAGAAGTCGAAGCCCTAGATAGGTAGTTGTAGGGCCAAGATGTCCGAATTACTAGAAAATTCACTTTTGGTATCCACACAGACTCACTCGCAGAAGGTTAAAGGAACGGAACAAAAATAACTTTAGGGAAAAAGAGATTTGTTTTTAGCCAGAAAACACACATTTCTACTGGGTGGTCTCTTTTTAACCCCTTGCAATCTTGGAAGCATGAAGAAATTTTAACCAGTAAGTCCTCAGAACTTCCTGATGAAATAATCCTCGAAGATAAGCTATAGAATGTGAACGTCTGGGATTTGCTTCTTTACACTTGGGAGGAGAGGAGACCATGGCAGAAAAATAGTAGATGGTCAACGGAGAGCTGAACTCATGTTTTCCTGCTTTAGGATCTTCCAAATTCACTAATCTCCCATTTTCGTAAGCTTAGTCCTTGGATCTGGAAACGTGGTATCAGTTGAAATCCGGGCTTCAGTTCAGGTCCTAAAGGGGCTACTGCTGTCTTTGGCACACAAACAACACCTCAACGCAAACACCCCATAAACGGAATCATGGAAACACGATCCAAGCCCACAAAAGTAAAAAAAAAAAAAAAAAAAAAAAAAAAAAAAAACCAAAAAAAAAAAAAAAAAAAAAAAAAAAAAAAAAAAGATAAGCCTAAAAATATGAAGTGACACTTCACCCTTCATGGTGCTAAATACTTCAGGCATGCACTTTCCAGATTCCAAAGAATGCTTAGGCCCCAGGGCCTGAGAAAGAGTCTAGAATTTGGACTTTCATTCTGCATCGAGTGATCTTCAAAAACATGTAAATCTACGTATATGTAGACACGTAAGTACTGGGCTACGTGTCTTTAATTCTAAGGTAAATTAGAGGTGACTTTGAAAAAAAAGTAACTTGAAAAACGATTAATTCTAGCCATTCCTAATTTCATCCTCTGTTAACCGCTGAAACATATTTAGATGAATACATTCAGAAAGAGGATGGTTCAGCTTGTCTATTTTTGACACAAGCAGAGTAAACTATGTCATTGTGTCACCTACTATGAAATCTCAGCCTCAATGACGTGGGCGCTTAATCATCTGTCCTTTACCCAACAGGCCAAACAGGGAGGTGGGAAGTCTTTCTGCTGACTAATCAAAATGCCGGCACTGCCCCTCCTCCAGCCTCCCCAGGGGGAGGGGAGGGGGGGAGGCGGGGCGGGGAGGTGGCGGGAACAGGCACAGCAGAGAGCTGTGAACAGCAAAGTCAGACTCTGAATTGAAAACTGCCACCAAGACACAGGAGCAGAGGGACAAAGAGAAGAGGAGAAAATAAAAAGATGCAGCAAAACAAATACCATGGAGCCGAATGACTGTACCTTGGCAAGGGATTTGCCATCGGAATTGTTGTTGGAATCTTTACCACCACTGAATGAATCTCTTCTCTGTGGGCATGGTTTCTTTTTGCGTGGTCTGCCTTTAAGATTTGGCGCTGAAAACAAATGGAGAACAGATGAGATACATTTTCATTTGCGTGGGTTTCCTTATGAAAAACCAAGGATCTTAAAACTCCAGTGGCGCCCTCTAATTGTTCAGAGAAACATACACATCTGTGGTAGCCAAGCCTCCTTTTAGGCGTCTCTCTCTGAAGGGCTGCCTCTTGGTAGACTCTACACTTCTGTCCATGTTCCCCAAAGCTCATCTATTACACTTGAATGTGTCTAATTAATATAAATAAAATGAAGCCCTCAGCTTTAAAGGGTTAGGATAAGGAAAATGCACTTCCCCACTGTTATCAAAGAAACATGTTGGGCTGAAAGACAGCCCTGAGCCTGGCTCATTTCTTTGTTTTTTGTTTTGCATCTTGTTTTCAGAAACCCAAATGATATGCCAGCCCATTATGGTATCATAGTAATGTAACGTTTGAAAACATCTCTCTTCACAAGTGGAGACATGAGCGTTTTCTCAAAGTATGATACAAATAAGTAAGGAGAGAGCTGTAGAAAAAGAGGCATTCAAAATAACAATCTGAACAATACCATCCCATGTATTTACTATTAATATTGCGACCAGCATGCTTCAAATCGCAACAAATCTGGCAGATACATTTAAGTCAGCATGTTCTCTTTTCCTTTTCAATATACTTTGTTTATGAAGATCTTGAGGGTTATTTAAAATAACTTCCAAAGATCACACTGGAGTTAGCCTGATTCCGTGGAGATTATATACTTTTTAAAAGCCATAGACAAGACACAAATCAAAGTTATATTTCATCTTGGATGCTGAACTTGAATCCCTTTAAGATCCATACAGAAAGAAGGAGGGGAAAAAAAAAAAAAAAGGCTGCTGTTTATTGAGTGCTACGACTCTCCGGCATCAGCTTTCACATTTAACTTCATCAGTCACCGGAGTCAAGCAAAAATAAAACAAACCAACTAACCGACTAGCCCTTGAAGAATTCCAAACTAACAAATTATACGCCAAGCAATTTCTTTAGGACCTTTCAAGGTACCCACACTTCTTCATTGCTTTAAGGTATGATTGTGACCATGGAAAAGCTGAACAACTCAAAACCCTCTTAACCGTTGTTAATATTACTCATGTCACGCCCGTTAACCAGTGCTTTTAGGACACTGTACTCCTCTTAACAAACACAATTAATCCCACTAATTTGATTTTCTACTGTGGATAACAGTCTTGCTGTTGACAAAGCACAATAAAGCAGAGCTGCCTTTACGATCAGGCAAAAGTTTAAAAAGTGGCTTTGGGGCTCAGACTCCCCCCTTCCCAAATCCGTTCTCCTCTCATTTCCCCAAAACGTTTGTCTTAAAGTCCATCTCAGAAAGCCAGCCTGGAATCATCAAAGGTAAACAAACTCACAAACAAAAAATCAAGCAAAGAGAAAGTGGCGATTACCCATTCCAGTCGACAAACATCTGCCTGATGATGTCTGTGCGCGTGAAAGCTACAGCATGTGACTGCTTCCCGGCCCTGTGTCCCTGAAGTCTCGACTTGACTTGGTGTGGATGTCAGCTTCCCTCCGAATGCGAGCTGCGAGGCTCAGCGCTCTGCTTACAACTCCCCTCCCCCGGCAGCTCCATTACTCATGTAAACACACAGCAGTGACTAGCACGGGGGTGTGTGGGATGAGCTCCGAGGACTTGGCTTGAGTTGCCAGACTGGCAGGCAGGGCTTGCCTCTCTCTGAGACTACCACACGGGGTTGGTGATTTCATCCGGCCTGTTTTGTGGATCCTGGCCTCCTGTTCCCCTGTCAGAGCCCGATGCCACCTTCCTTCCAGGCTCGGCCTGGAGCCAGGGCGGGGACCATTTTGGTTTGAGGACGCAGAGTAGCACAGAAGTGTTTCCACAACTGACCCAAGGGCTAAGACTTTAATGACCGCGAGGGAAGGATGTACTTTCAAGTCTCTTATCATAATAATAGCAGAGCAGAAAGCTGACAGAAACCCACAGAACTTGGGGTAGGTCTGAGGCATTTCATTAAAAGGAAGAAAACAATATTGCCTCTGTTCTAAGACTTGTTACTGTGATCGTTCCTTCCTAACATGTTGGCAAAAAGCATTTAAACCTAAAAGGCATTTATTTCCAGAAAAGCTTTCAAATCCCAAAGGTCTTTTAGATAGAGAGAACTTGCACTGAACAGGCTGTTTTGAATAAAGGCAAAGGTTCCGGGAACTGACAATAAGTCATCCCCAAATCGGGTCTGTTTTCTCCATTCTTTGAGCTGCTTTCAGAACCCAGAGAGGCACATGCCCTTCCCCAGCAAATTCTGAGAATTGCAAATTTAGAACAGACTAACACCTAATAGTCTGGTCGCACAAACTTAAACTCTAAGCGGAATCTGATCAAGAGAAAAAGCCTTTTGTCCCTAAGAAAGGCAAGTACACTGATATTTCAGGTATGGTTAGGTAAATCTCACCAGTCACTAAAGCCTCAAACTCAAATACCTCTTTTAGTCTCCCCTCTGAACTTCTTTTCTGACCTTCTCTGATGGAAAGTATCACTGTATTATTTGTACTTTAGCTGTGTCTCATAGCTTATTGTTATACTAAGTTGAAGAGTCCTTAAGGGCAGGACCATGTTAGATTCATTTTTCTCTGCCCCAGCATCCATCCAGGGGCAGCACTGCCTAATATACTGTTGAATAATCAAGTGACTAGCGGAAATACAGGTGCCCACACAGGCCTCCTTGGTGTCAAGAGCTGGGCCCGCCGACCTGACCACATGTATGCCCGTCACACTGGGCACCTGAAAAACGGCACTCACCTTTCCTGCTTACCTGTGAGCTCTGGGAGCACACATGAGTGACTTGACTTTGCTGTGGGAAATGAGACGGGGAAACCTACAGCCTTTGGTTCCTGCTTAGGGTAATTGTATCTGGCATCTCATGTGGGACCATGATTGTCCCACACGCAATGAACAAATGCCCTGAAGAGCAGACGTTCAAAGTCCTGGGGGAATGGAGGGTGCAGGACTCCGTGTGGGGTGGGAGCCCCCGTAATACAACTGGAGATTTTTTGGATCCACAAGACCCCAGGTGAATCTCTGGGACCGAAAGGCTGGCTTTTGGGGAGAGCAAATATTCTTGTCCCCAGATTACATTTCTTTTTCCTACAGGGTCAAGAAGACAAATCATTTGCTAGGCGGGTGAATGAAAACAAATGCTTTATGGTGTGGTGGGGTCAGGGGGGCGTGGCTCTGGCCTTTAACTCTTCCCCACCTCCTCCTAGCTGCCCTGGACCCACCTAAACCTGCCCTCTCCTTGCCAGCTAAGGGCCGCACACTTCCTGAGAGAACCCAAATCCTAAAACTCCAGAAGCACACCAGCTCCCGTGCTTTAGATGAGAGCAGTCTCTACCAACAAAGCCATTCTTGGAAGCCAGCAATACACTGACTGATAGCATACCTGGTTCTGGTGAGTCCTACTTCAAAAAAAGATACATGTAGTGTATTTGAGTAGTAAATGCACAGGTACTTTGATATGTGTGTATATCCACTGGCCAAACCCTGGCCTGGCTCAGAGAGTTCGGTCAAAGCCCTTTGCGCGAATGTTTTCAGTATTATTCACACGTAATAATAATAGCTGATGCTTACGGAGCACTTTTTCTTGCCAGTCAGCACTCTGCAGAGAGTAACTCATTTAAAACTCAAAACAAGCCAACAGGAAGGCACAAGTATTATCCCCATTTTACAGGCCAGGTAACCGAGATAGAGTGAGATTACTTTTGTCTTAGGTCATACCACTGGTTACTGGTAGCAGAAGGCTTCCAACCCAGGCAGCTGGACATTATCCAGAGCCCCTGCTTTAAGGAACTTCTAACAGAGGACATACACAGTGTCTCATAATGAGGTATCTATATTATTAACTTGGGCTGGCAGTCTCCAGGGAGCTTTCCCCGAACGAAAAAACTCTCAAATACCACACAGCACGAGGGCACTGCAGCCCATCTCAGGCATCAGACAGTAAGTATCCTACAGCCCTGAGGGCGAGCAGGGTCCCCATCAGTTAAGTCACAGAGTTCCAATAAAACTTAGAGCACCAAGTACATTACCCCCTTGCAGTGAGCCACTGACTAACTCTTCTGCCTAATCGGTGAAAGATCTCTGTGGTTTTTTAAAACAAATCTTCCCTCTCCGACTGCCCATCTGTTCCTCTTACTCAGCACCATGAAATTAACAAGTATTCACCATTGTGACGTCACAGCTATTTCTATAGGTGTTAATCCCAGGAGAATCGGCACCCACCAGTGCCCCAGGCTACTTGGACATATGACCCATGTGTTTTGTTTTTTCCTTTTCTTAAAAACTCCTTCAACTATTACTGAATCACAGTCTTTTTTTTTTTTTTTTTTTAAACAGTATAGCAAAACATGCTTTGTGTTTTGTTTTGTTTTTCTTAAAGAGTCTAGAAGCTCAGAGTTGCAGGAGTTCATGTCCGTATTTACTTCACTGTGGGTTCTGACAAGTTATGTGTCAGGGCAGCACAGGTGTGGGAAACTTTCATCTTGCAGTAATAATAAAAACAAAGGAAATGTAACCAGTTACTGGCAAAGTAAATTGCTTTTGGCTTAAATGTTCCTGTTTTTTTTCCTACTGTGTTCTTCCTGTCATGACCGTCTCTCTTTTTTTTTTTTTTTATAACATTTATGCTCTTGGAAATGCCATGAAGATAAACTGCTATAAAAGCTGGATTGACTCATCAGTTAACAACTCTTTCTTCTCCTTTTGCAGAGAGGATTTTGTTGCCAGCACAGCAACATGTTCTCTCGAGAAATTCTTTGTGAGCTTCCACTCAGAGATAGGACTTGCTTGTTGGTAGGGACTGGAATTAGGGGAATGGAAAACCAGGCATCATTTTCCTAAGAGTTTGACCCCCAGGGTCAATGTCTAGAGGAAGCTGGCAGAGCGTTAACTCATTTGATTTGCAAGTGTGTGTGTGTGTGTGTGTGTGTGTGTGTGTGTGTGTGTGTGTTAAACACTAAACACAAGTCAGAAAACTAAACGACACCGATTGAAGGATTATGGACTGGCAAACATTGTTCTATGCATAGCGTGCATTACTGATAATACTTTGCATTTCTTTAATGCCTTTCCTCTGAGCATCTCAATTCTTTGGTACATTGTCTTTACAGACAATAATCTTAAAATACTCTGGCAAGTTTCAGCATGGAGCATTGCTCCTGCTGGGGGGGAAAAAAAAAAACCTATCCTAATTTAGTTATCATTTATTGTGTTCTATTTTCAATGTTTCCCTTTTGACTCCTTAGAAACTTCCTCTTGCACTACAACAAAAATAGGATGAGTGTTTTTAAAGTTATTAACGTATGAGTAAAAGATTTAGAAACCGAGAATGGCAGAAGGCTTGATCAAAGCCACTCCTGAAATTTATGGGTGTAATAAAAGAAAGGCATTTCACAGATAATCTCTTACAGAATTTCAGTTTTCAAATACTTGGAAAAAAAGAAAAGAAAAACAGAAGCTCTCAGCTCTCATGCTGGCTTTAACTTAAAGCCAACATTTTTACTTTTAAATTCACAAATGATTCCCTGAAATTTTATTTCAAATCCACGGTTACGTTCCATATACTCCCCGCTCCACACCTCACAGAGCAAGGCCAGAAAACTGCAGCCGCTGGTACTCAGGGTCTGATAATTGGTTGAATCTTTCCACGAATTCACAAAGAATCAATTCTATATAGATGTAAGAACATGCAAGTTTACTTTTATTCTGTTCGCCTATAAATAATTTCCCACACCCAGCAGAAATGTTTGAGAAGCAACTGGGCTGTCTGAGAGATGCACACCGGGCCATTAACAAGCACAATTCCATCCTGAGGGGCTTGCTAACTTAAATGATGACTTTAAAGCAATAGGCACAGTTTAAAAAAAAAAGCTGCAAGAGTGTTATCATTTTCTGTCATTGTTCTGACAGTTTCCTATTTAAGAGTAATTTGTTCCCTCAAATAAAGGCATTTAAAAAGATGAGTCCAGACTTGCAAGCTGAGACCAGAGCCAGCCTCAAATGCCCTCACTCTCAAATGCCACCAAGACGAGGCAGCCCTGAACAGGGACCAAGGGGAGTGCCCCAGGGGAGTGGTCACACTCACTACTCTGGATGTCATGGCTGCTTTGAGTTTCCAAGGCTGGTTTAGCCCAAGCCATACCTTGATGTTGCTTCAACCACCGTGCCTATTAACTACAATTTAGCATTTCCAATGAACTATGCTCTCACTGAATCCAGGTCCTCTCCTACCACCTGTGGAAGGGTGCACGGTAGTGTTATTAGAAAGAGAGTGGGGGAAAAAAAAATGAAGCAGGCTTTCTATGAGGTCAAGACACTTTGGCTCTTTGTCACTGAGATCCCCAAGAGTCACTAATGAGAGTGGAATGTATCACTGCATTTGTCATACCTGGACTGGTCGGGCAACTTAAGTCCAAAACAGCCGTGGACTTCACTGACTGCTCAACAAACCATGTAAGTAAACACTTTTGTAATGCCTTCCAAATATGTCCTGTCTTACTCACTCCTTGTTTCATACTTGCAAATGCTCGAGCAGTTGTTAATGCCTCTGATCAAAGTCTTAGTAATTTCATAGGCATGTGATTTGCATAGCTATTTCCTGATCCGCCTTCTCTCTGCCCTGGAGGTCTTCATTTCTCAGAAACACTTAACAA